AGTGAAAGATAAGATGAATATACGTATACATTACATATAAGAGTGTACACCTGTATCTGCGTGTATGTGTGTATGTATATATATAAATTTATGTACACAGGGAGATAGAGTGAGAGATAGATTGATGGATAAATAAATAAACAGAATGATAGATAGATAGATACAGAGAGATGGAGAGGGAGAGAGAGAGAGAGAGAGAGAGAGAGAGAGAGAGAGAGAGAGAGAGAGAGAGAGAGAGAGAGAGAGGAGAGAGAGAGAGAGAGAGAGAGAGAGAGAGAGAGAGAGAGAGAGAGAGAGAGAGAGAGAGAGAGAGAGAGAGAGAGAGAGAGAGAGAGAAAGCGAGAAAGAAAACGAGTTGTGAGAGACCGAGACCGGTTTTCGCTTTCGGAGCGTATATGAAAACGTCTAAAATATTGACAAAGTCAGCACACCAAAAAGAAAAAAAGAAAAAATGGAAAAATAAGAAACACACACAAAAAAAATCCAAATTACGAAATTAGAAAGTATCGAAACACAGCCAGAAAAAAAAAAAAACAAGAAAAACTCACACCTCTCTGTTTTTCAACCATGACCAGCAACATCCCAGTGTAATTCAAGAAGTGCTTCCTACAATTCGCAGTAGAAAAAGGGAAGACTTACCGGCCCTCCTGCTCAGCCAGAGGGACGTCCCCGTGAGAGCGTATGTGCGGACAGCGAGGTGTATGTGCGGACACGTAGCGTATGTGCGGACAGAGTAGTGTATGTGCGGACGGCGTAGCGTTTATGCGGACGGCGTAGCGCATGTGAGGACGGCGTAGCGCATGTGAGGACGGCGAAGTGTATGAGCGGACGGCGTAGTGTATATGCGGACGGCGTAGTCACTCTCCCTCGTCTCTCCCGGATGCAAGGAAAGGGAGGATCTTCCAAAAAGGGAATCCATTTCGATATAGTAAAAAACAGGCGGTTCAAAGGAAGAAGAAATAAGGAAACACAATAACTAAATTATGAAAATAGGGAGAGGCATCGGTTGAATGAGATTACACTTGATGTAAGCCAGAACACGAGGAGGAGGGGGATAGGGGAGGGGGGGAGGAGAAAGAGGAGGGGGGGAGTGGGGGGAGGAGGAAGAGGAGGAAGACTAGGAGGAGGAGAAGGAGGACGATGAGGGGAGGGGGAGGAGGACGAGGAGGAGGTGTGGGGGATGGGGAGGAAGAGGAGGAAGAGGAGGGGAAGGGGAGAAGGAGGTGAGGAGAAGGTGAGGAGGAGGAGGAGGAGGACGAGGACGAGGAAGAGTGGAAGGGGAGGAAGAGAAGGAGGAGAAAAAGTAGAAGATGATGATGATAAAGAAAAAAAGAAAAAGAAAAACAAAGACCAAGAACAAGAGAAACAAACAAGGCCAAAGGTAAACAGGAAGAACCCCCCCCCCCCCCCCGAAATAAGGGTCTTCGCACCCGTGCTCCTCAGCCCACGAGAGCGAACGAGAGCGCGCGCCTCTCCTCCCTCAGACCTTTTCATCAACTGACCTTGATTACGGCGGTGAAACTCTCCCTAAGTTGCATCTGTGTTAGGGAGACGAGCGGGGGGGGGGGGGAAGGAGGAGGAGGAGGAGGAGGAAGAGAAGGAGGAAGAGGAGGAGGAAGAGGAAGAGGAAGAGGAAGAGGAAAAGGAAGAGGAGGAGGAAGAGGAGGAGGAAGAGGAAGAGGAATAATAATAATAATAATAATAAGAAGAAGAAGAAGAAGAAGAAGAGGAAGAAGAGGAGGAAGAAATAAAAGAGGTAGAAGAGATAAAAGAGGAAGAAGAGATAAAAGAGGAAGAAGAGATAAAAGAGGAAGAAGAGATAAAAGAGGAAGAAGGGAGGAGGAGGAAGAGGAAAAAGGGAAGAGGAAGAGGAAGAGGGGGAAGAAGAGTAAAAAGAGGTAGAGGAGGAAGAACAGGAAGAAGGAAGGAGGAAGATTTAGGTGTTCCGTGTTCGCGAGGGAGACGAGCGGGGGCGAGGGGAGAGGGAGGGAGGGAGGGAGGGGGAGAGGGGGAGGAGGAGGAGGAGGAGGAGGAGGAGGAGGAGGAGGAGGAGGAGGAGGAGGAGGAGGAAGAGGAAGAGGAAGAGGAAGAGGAATAATAATAATAATAATAATAATAATAATAATAATAATAATAAGAAGAAGAAGAAGAAGAAGAAGAAGAGGAGGAGGAGGAGGAGGAAGAGGAGGAGGAAGAGGAGGAGGAAGAGGAGGAGGAAGAGGAGGAGGAAGAGGAGGAGGAAGAGGAGGAGGAAGAGGAGGAGGAAGAGGAGGAGGAGGAGGAGGAGGAGGAGGAGGAGGAGGAGGAGGAGGAGGAGGAGGAGGAGGAGGAGGAGGAGGAGGAGGAGGAGGAGGAGGAGGAGGAGGAGGAGGAGGAGGAGGAGGAGGAGGAGGAGGAGGAGGAGGAGGAGGAGGAGGAGGAGGAGGAGGAGGAGGAGGAGGAGGAGGAGGAGGAGGAGGAGGAGGAGGAGGAGGAGGAGGAGGAGGAGGAGGAGGAGGAGGAGGAGGAGGAGGAGGAGGAGGAGGAGGAGGAGGAGGAGGAGGAGGAGGAGGAGGAGGAGGAGGAGGAGGAGGAGGAGGAAGAGGAGGAGGAAGAGGAGGAGGAAGAGGAAGAGGAAGAGGAAGAGGAAGAGGAAGAGGAAGAGGAAGAGGAAGAGGAAGAGGAAGAGGAATAATAATAATAATAATAATAATAATAATGATAACAATAATAATAATAATAATAATAATAATAACAATAATAATAATAATAATAATAACAATAACAATAATAATAATGATAATGATAATAATAATAATAATAATAATAATAATAATAATAATAATAATAATAATTTATTATTATTATTATTATCATAACAACAACAACAATAATAATAATAATAATAATAACAATAATAATGAAATAAAAAATTGGCTGACGTCTGCAACACAGACGTCAGCCAACTTAGAGAAGGTGGATGGGGAAGAGGGAAGGTAGGTGGGTGGGGAAGAGGGGAAGGGGGTAGAGAAGGGGGTAGGGAAGTGGGTAGGGAAGTGGATGGAGAAGAAGGGAAGAGGAAAGGAAAGGGGGTAGGGAAGTGGGAAAGAGGGGTATTTCAGAAGCAGAAGTGAGGCGGTTTTCGGGCAAGACGGAAAGACTTCACTTCGCCTGCCCTTAAGTCGGTCAGTCCGGCTTCGTGTGAGAGTCGGAGATGAACTTTCTTACTTTTTGTCTTGACACCTTGGCGTCTCTCTCTCTCTCTCTCTCTCTCTCTCTCTCTCTCTCTCTCTCTCTCTCTCTCTCTCTCTCTCTCTCTCTCTCTCTCTCTCTCTCTCGCTTCTATCTATCTACCTCTCTACCTAAATATCTACTTGTCCACCTATCTATCTACTTGTCTACCTACCTATCTCCTTATCTATCTGTCTGTCTATATGTCTATTTATCTATCTGTCTGTCTAGTCCTGTTCAATATCTATATCGTAAGTCTTGTGTTCTTCATTCTGATGTTTTTTTTCCAGTCTTTATCGTTTTTTTCTTTAATTTTGATTTATTTTGTTTTGTTATTTTTGTGGATTTAATTTTGTCAACTTTATTAAATTTCCTTTCGTGTCTGGCGATTGTTGGACAGTTTTTTTTTTCCTTTTTTAAATTTATTTCCTTTTTTTCTTACTATCATTTTGCATATTTATAGTTATCACTTTCGTCACAACCTTTCTTTTAGCTCCCCTTTTGCTTCTACTTATTCCTCTCTCTCCTTCCCCTTCTGAACTCTCTTCCCCCTCTCTCCCCACTCTTTTCCCCCCTCTCCACTACTCTCTTACCCTTTCCTTTCCTTTCTTTCTCCTCTTTCCCCCTCTTCTTCTACCTCCTCTCTACCCATTATCTTCCCTTCTCTCTCCCCTTTCCTCTCTCCACCCTCCCACTCTCCCCACCCCTCCCCCTTCCATCCCTCTCGCCTCCCCCCACTCCCCTCCCATCCCCCTTCCATCCCTCTTACCTCCCCATACTCTCCTTCCACCCACCCCCTCCCCTCATCTCCCCCTTCCACCCCCCTCACTCCCACTCCCACCCCTTTCCCTCCCCTCCCCCTTCCACCCCTCTCACTCCCACTCACCCCTCCACAACCCTCGTGTTTACTACCCCCTCTGACGTCCTGTGTTGAAAGTAACCTTGGCAGACTTTCTTCTCGTAATAGCACACAAACGTACCCTCGTCCCATGCCCCGGTGAATGCAATTAGTTACTTCTTCTCTTTTATGCGTGAGTAATAAATCCAGATGGCGCGCAACCCAGTCTACAAGCGGTGATGAAATGTTGCATGCACGGCGACAGACTTCTAAGTGCCGATCGTCTCACGCACGTTCGATTACGCAAGTGCTTCGAAGCGAATGAGAATAGATGGGTGGGATATGCGAATAAGAAAGTAAATTTCCGGATTCACACGATGCTTAAATCGACTCGTCCTACGTGGACATAGTGACAGGGACATACAACAAACGACTTCAACAAACGACGACAAACGACAGACAACTGCAACAAATGATTAAAGTGCTACAAAAACCAACAGTCGACTACATAAATAACTACAACAAACAACAAACAACTACAGCAAACGACTACAGACGACTACGACAACTACAACAAACAATGAAAGACACACAAGCAACTACAACTAAACGACGATCTAAAACAACCACAAGAATCCACAACAAACGAAAAATGACCACAACAATAAAAAAAAATCCACCAACGAGAAACGACCACAACAAACGAAAAACGATCACCACAATAAAAGAAAAAAAATCCACGAACGAGAAACGACCACAACAAACGAAAAACGACCACCACAATAAAAAAAAACAGAATCCACGAACGAGAAACGACCACATCAAAACGGACGCCACGACTCCGGACGACGAGGCGACCAGGTGCGGCGAGCAGGTCAGCGGACGATATGCTCGGCTGAGGGAGAATCTCGCTCCCGCCGAGGAAACTGGTGATGCAAAAAACACGACTTACCCGGAGCGGCAGGTGAGCGTGTGACGTCACTTCCGGATCTGGGGAAGAGGAGGAGGACTGGAATTAGTTTAATGGATTAGCATTCGGGAAAATGGATTGGAAATGAGGGAATTAGCGAGCGAGGAATAAACAAGGATGGAGTTTCTTTATTCATTCGGTATAAATAACGTTTATTGACTTATGGATTTCATCGCTAATCTGTTCTATCTTCAAAAGCCGCGAAGAAATAAGTATAAACTAACAAACAGGATGAAGATTTCGATTTTTCTGTATAAAGAGATTTACGAGTCAAGACGACTGACATTTTATTGCGGAAGAATGAGTATACACACACACACACACACACACACACACACACACACACACACACACACACACACACACACACACACACACACACACACGGACGCACGCACACACGCACGCGCGCGTGTAACCTTCCCCACTTTTTATTATGTAAGATCACGTGCTTAGACTGTTTTACACTTACAAAATGAACTCAATTCAACCATTAAAATGTCAGGGTAAGAAACCAAGCGCGAGGCAAAATCAGCACTTGAAAAACAAATCTGTTGAAGAAAAAGGAGAAGAGAAAAAAAGAAAGGTATTGTTTACGAGCCTGACGTGACACAAGCAGCTCGTGACTTGGCATGGAATGGACAGTCAAGTCTCCGCCCACTCCCCACTCCCTCTCTCCCTCTTTCTCTCTCTCTCTCTCGCTCACTCTCTCTCTCTCTCTCTCTCTCTCTCTCTCTCTCTCTCTCTCTCTCTCTCTCTCTCTCTCTCTCTCTCTCTCTCTCTATCCTCCTCCTCCTCCTCTTCTTCTTCTTCTTCTTTTCCTTCTCCTTCTCCTTCTCCTTTTCCTTTTCCTCCTCCTTCTCCCCCTGCACCTCCACCTCCCTCACTCTCTCACCCACTCACTCTCTCTCTCACCCATTCTCTCCCCTTCTATCTCCTTCTCCTTCTCCTTCTCCTCCACCTCTCCCTCACTCTCTCTCTCTCCTTCTAACTCCTCCTTCTATCTCTTTCTCCTTCTCTTTCTCCCTCGCCCTCTCTGTCTCTCTCATCATTCACCAACAACCCTGCCATCTTGCCGTCTCTTTCCCATCATCCGTTTATCTAACCTATCCCTATTCCCCTTTCTCATAGATGTCGTGTTTCCTTCAGTTCGTGTTGGTGGGAATCGAGGGGACGGGGAGAGGGGAGAGGGGAAAGGGGACGGGGGGAAAGGAGCGAGAGGGGAATTAGGGAGAAGGGGGGAGAGGGAAGAGAAAGTGGGAGAGAGGGGACGGGAGGAGGGTAGAAAAGGGGAGATGGTAAGAAGAAAGGGTAAGAGAGGGGAGATGGTAAGAAGAAGAGAGTAAGAGAGGGGAGAAGGGGGTGAGGAAGAAGGGGAGGAGGTCAACCCTTCCCAGGTATCATCCTTTGCCGGTGTGACGCGTGGCATGGCAGACGAGACAGCTGTCGATTTATTGAATACTGTTGACATGAGTTTACAAAGACACACACACACACACACACACACATACACACACACACACACACACACACACACACACACATACACACACATACACATACACACACACACACACACACACACACACACACACACACACACACACACACACACACACACACACACACACACACACATACACACAAACACACACAGCCAACTTTGCAATGTCACGTTAATATCATAATCAAGAGAAAAGAGGCTTTCTACTAACTATATATAAACAAAAAAAAGAAAATCCCAGCAGGAGAAGGTAAAAGAAAAAGGGTCGCAGATGGAGGGCCTTAACACGATCGCCTTGAGTGGAGGAACCTCGCGTGCAGTTTTTTTTTTTCTTTTTTTTTAACGATAAATATTTATACCTGTGATACCTTTGTCTCCGTCTATTTTCCTGTTTTTATTCTTTTTCTTGTTTTTCTTTTTTTTTTCATTTTCTGGATATATCATATACGTACATATATAAACACACAATAATGGTCCTAAACGCCCACAGACGCCCACGGCCTCCCCCCCCCCCTCCACATAGGCTTCCCGGGCGACGGCTCTGCCTCTCCTCAATCCGGCCTGACTCGCACAGCGTAATACGATCGGTCGTTCGCAAGGGAAACCTCGATTTTTACGGCGCCTTCTCGCTCGGGAAAATGACTCAGGAAGATGTGGAAATATATATATATATATATATATATATATATATATATATATATATATATATATATATATATATATACAGAGTGAGAGAGAGAGAGAGAGAGAGAGAGAGAGAGAGAGAGAGAGAGAGAGAGAGAGAGAGAGAGAGAGAGAGAGTGAGTGAGAGATGTCCTGTGACAGCCATGTTTAATAATATATTTTTTAGACATTAATAATACTGATTTAATAATAATCGTTGATTTAATGATTGATAGGTTTTATATTGATTATTTCACAACCTTATATAACAATAATATGGATATATCAATAATGATAATGATAATGCTCATAACAATGACAAAACAATAACAATAACAACAACAAAAATAATATTATCATGATCATTACCGCCATCACTGTCATATCAAACCTTAACATAATCAAAAACACCTGTCATCCCTGCTATCAGTTATTCTTATAACAACCACCTCGATAAATAAAAAAGCAAGGATGTCTCGAGAGTATAAAGAAAGCCTCTCTATAAGGAACAAACTCTCCATGGTATAAGGAACAGCTCCCCGAGGATAAAGACGTCGATACCTCCAAAGTATAAGGGGCGGCGTGTCTAGAGTATCAGGAGGGAAGTGGTCAGTTGAGTATAAGGAAAGCCATCCCTTCTAAGACGCCCTAAGCATCCCTTCTTGTGGCGGATTAAATGACCAGCAGGCCTCCTCCTATTTCTTTTTTTTCTTCTTCCTTCTCCTTCCTTCATCCACCTTTTCATTCCTCTTCGTCTTATTCATATTCTTCTCCGCCTCTTCCGCTTTTTTTTTTATCTCCTTCTTCTTCCTCCCTCTTCTTCCTTCGACCCCCTCTTCTTTTTCTTGTTCTTCTTCTTCGTCTTCTTCTCCTCTTTCTCCTCCTCCTCCTCTTTCCTCCCTCTCCTTTCTTCACCCTCCTCTTCCTTTTCCCTCCCCTTTCTCCTTCCTCCTCCACCTCCACTTCCTACCTCTTCCTCCACCTCCTACCTCCCTCCTCCACCCCCACTTCCTACCCCCCCCCCCTCCTCCCCCGCGCCATGGGAGATAAGGCCTCTCTCCTGCAAGGCCATAAGGGATTAACATCCAGGAAACGTCAGCTCTTCCATTAAGTGGGCAGAGATGGGGGGGGGGGGGTATCCTTTGATCATGAGCGCGAACTGATAAAGATAACTGATAAGGCATGACGCCAGCGGTGAGGGATTGCTAATAAGTGTCCAAGAGGCGTACGCTACTTACTTTATATGGGGATGCATGTGGAAGTATAGACATGCACTTAGATATACGCAATCAGATGAACATACATGAACATGCGCAGACACAGACACGCACACATATGGAGACACACGTACACATGGAGATACACGCACACACATACACACACACACACACACACACACACACACACACACACACACACACACACACACACAGACGCGTTAGTGTTTGTGTATTTTTGTAAATTAAGACGCATTCGAACATACATCCAAGCAAACCAGAGTAGCTCAGTGTGTGAAAGACTGCATGCGCTTGCAAGTACGTGTTTCATTGCAAGGAACCAAAAAACTCGTCAAGAGGTTCCCACGCTGCGTTTATTTCACCCGCGCGTTCTTATGTCTAAAAAAATGTGTATAGGTATATAAAGATATAAAGAAAAATAAATTGACATATAAATAGATAAATATATGAATAAATAAGAAATATATCAGTAGGCAAGTAAAGAAATTATGTGATATATATATATATATATATATATATATATATATATATATATATATATATATATATATATATATATATATATATATATATATATAAATATATATATATAAATATATATATACATATATATATATACATATATATATACATATATATATATATATACATATATATATACATATATATATACATATATATATACATATATACACATATATACACATATATACACATATACATATATACATATATACATATAAATACATATAAATACATATAAATATATATAAATACATAAATATATATATATATATATATATATATATATATATATATATATATATATATATATATATATACATATGAAGAGATAGCTAAATAAATAAATGAGAAATATATAAATAATTAAGTGAACAAAACATAATTAGATATGTAAGTGAAAAAAAATATATATATATATAAATAAATAAAACATCGTTATTATCTCCCCATATCTAAGCACGGCAGCCACCCTCCCCTTGCCTCGGTCCCCAGCGTGCCCACACGCCATCCCGCCCGCCATCCCGCCCGCCAACACGCCCGACCGCACGCCCGCACGCCTGCCCATCCCCCTCCCCCCCAACAAAAAAGATAGGCGACGCGGGCGCTGTAATAAGGGGCGCGCACCCGACACTCATCCGGGACCTAAAAGCTTCACCGGCCACGCCCACGGGGGGAGAGGCGGCCGCATGCACGAGGGGCGGGTCCTGGCCTCGCTGGCTCGCCTTTCATACATTCATGATCTCTTTAACCCAATTATAGACTTCGCTCAACAAACATGTCACACGCGCATGATGTATGCGGAGGCGCTCGCGGGACGCCCTGCGCAGCCGACTGGGAGAATGCATATTATCTGCCAATATAATGTAGCATATGATATGTTTTTATTTATAAATATAACTATATCACGTATGTGTGTGTGTGTGTGTGTGTGTGTGTGTGTGTGTGTGTGTGTGTGTGTGTGTGTGTGTGTGTGTATGTGTGTGTGTGTATGTGTGTGTGTGTGTGTGTGTGTGTGTGTGTGTGTGTGTGTGTGTGTGTGTGTGTGTGTGTGTGTGTGTGTGTGTGTGTGTGTGTGTATATATATATATGT